TTTGCAACAGTGTTAATGAGGTAGTCAGTTCTGACATTGTCTACATTAGGTACCAGGATGGATGAATACTCTGGGATACTGTCAACTGGGTAGTCATAGGTCTCAACCTGATAAACAACAACAACAACAACAAAACAACGGTTATTTACAGCAGAGATCGCGTAAACGCATGCGCATAAATCTTACATTTGCGCACTTTACTAGTGTTCACTAGAGCAATATTGATTGGCACACACAACACAATGCTTGGTCTATAATCATGATTACTTACTCGATTAGACCAGTGCTCCCATTCTCCCTCCTCGTTGACGAGATACTCAAAGAACGTATCGTTGCCTTCWGCAGGAGGCCAGCTCAGGGAAAAATTACTCTTCAGAAAATCTTCCATCTGAAATGAGATGTTTTTGGAAAATTTTGATTAGTTAGGGCGATAATGATGCTGCTGTGATCCGTCAAATGATTTAGTGATGATGATGACAATGATGATGGTGATGATAGAAATCATTATGATAATAATGATAATGATGATGATGGTCATAGAAATGACGATGGTGATGATGATGATGATGATAGAAATGATGCTTGATGGTGGTGGTGATGATAGTGAAGTTGAAGATGATAGTGATGATACATGATAGTGATGATACATGGTGGTGATGATACATGATGATGGTGATGATGATGATGGTGATGATAATGGTTGCGGTAGTAATGATGGTAGTGATGCTTCTACTGCTGCTACTAATGATAATGATGACAAGAGGATAACTACTTACCTTTTTCCTGTCAGCCAGTTCCAGCAGCGCACCGATACTCCACATGATCGAGAAGATGAACAGCTTCTCCAGATGCTTGGCATCTGCAGGTTTAGACGCATCTTCTCCAGGAATCAATCCTTGTAAAATRTTAGAGGCTTGTACGATATAGTTACATTCCAGCAGCTAGGAAAGAACAACATCTAGTTAACGTGCCTGTATTGATTTCAGCGCCGCAAGTTCCATATATATTCAAGTGAACATCAAAGCTGTCTGCTGTGCAGAAATGTGCGTAAGTCCCTATAGTTTTCTGAAGAGTAACTTTCTTTAAATAAATATAATATACGCGCACATGATCGCGCATTCAGACGCATGTACTGCATCCAAAACATTACGCACAAGGTAATGATTGAAGTCTTTTTTGATGTCATATTTTTCATTACTTTAACCTCCAAGAAAGGATTTAGTGCAAGGAGTCTACACAAGTTCCTGTAGAAGAAATCATGTTTACTCACGTCCATCTTGGGTGAAGTGTTGACAAGGATAAAATTCCGAAGGTCATCAAAAACTTGTTCAAAGAGCGGGAAAAGAGTGTCTCCTTCGCYTGGTGGCCGAGTGTTTAGCCAACCCTGCAGGGAAAGAGCAGTAACATCAACTACTATTATACCAAGAATGAAGATAAAATGGTTAATGTTTTCGTGCACTGCGATGCATCTATCACTAATGCCAACCACACTCAATTACGGGACTCCATGTCGTAGTTGAGTATATTTTTTTGTTGGTTCTCTCCTGTACTTCGAGGGTTTTTTCTCCAGGTTCTACGGTTTTCCTCCCTCCACAAATATCGACTTCTTAATTGATTTCCACTTCAATCATGTAATGATGGCAGCAGGTTTTAATGGGCTCCAGTTCAAGCGATTCTCCGTTTGCACGTTACGTCATCGTGGCCATGATGGTGATCATAATGCGACAACAACAAGGCTCATGTGATTAGGGAGTCCTGGGAATGCTGACAAACCATCGTAAAAGACAACTTACCCTCAGGATTGGCTTCCAGTCCAAGGCAGAGGAGCTCATATACACCATACCGTTCCTAAGTGAAAATAAAATAAATATACAATAAATATTCACCAACTTCGTATCAATAAATTTAACCCACACGACTCTGTACCTGGACACGGTGGCGGGTGAAGCGTTGTCAATGTTATGGGGCTCAAATACCACCTTACAATTGGGTGCCATAGGAATACGGTCCCCATTAGCTAGTGTAAGTGTCTTGTTATCATCCAAAACACTGTTAAGATTCTCAATCCAGATAGCATCTACTGGCCCATCAAGAACAATCCATATATGGTCAGTCTTTTTGGCGCGAAGTGTTTTTCTCCATAGTGTTGAAAAGATTCCGTCTGTCCAATCATTTGTTGACACGTCAAGACGACCGAACATCTGAGGAGCCGTGATAGCCTGGAAACGAGATAATTATGATAAGCATATACCAACTTGTGTACTTCATAAGAACGCGCTCGCTCATTGGTTCATTGGAGGTGAATATTGTACGATATTCATCTCTGAATCTCGGAATATTGAGTCGGCAACAAAATGGCTAAATATACCGTATTTATATAATCACGTGACAGAATTAGTTACTGACACTAGGCAATGGTATGAAAGCGAGGCATAGGTATAAAAAAGGTATCTTCCTCATACATGAAGCACATGGGATCATTTAACTGGGAGGTAAGAAGACATGAAAATGAGGCTCTTAGGTCAGCTTGCAGACTTGAAGGACTAAATGGACCTTCATCACAGAGTGCCATCTTTATTCCCATGACAATAAAGACCCTTGTTTAAAACCGCGTAACCTCGTCCTGWAAGGYTYGAGTRCAAGGCTACGTGGGGGRRAATCWATTGTTGCAKMCGACATAGCTGCAGCTTGAAAATAGTCCATGGGATAGCTATATTATAGCATATATTTAARTGGGTCATCAGTCACACCTTAGTAAGTATTAACAAATCGCTACCTTTGGGTTCATTCTGAATTCCTTGTGTGGTTCTCCGCATATCGTCATGGCTTTACATAGCATGTTGATACATTTAGTCTTACCAGCACCACTCGGTCCTAGTGCCATCATACCGTGTCGTACCCGCTGTGTCTCGTACAGCTACACAACAAACAAACAATATTCTTATTAGTTTTTATTAACTATTATTAATTATTATTATTTAATAATAATAGTTATTCATTATAGTTATTCATTATTATTAGCACTATTAAGAGAAATACGCCAGCATAGGTGAAGCACCATTTTTTCTCCTTTCGAAAGAAACAAATTCTAAAAATTCCAATTTCACAATAAACAAAGCCCACAGGATGTCAGTTATTGGCCCTCTGAAAACAGCAACATCAAACGAGAAATAAGATGGCGATTGTGACGTCACATGTTAAGAAGCCAGATGCATTATGGGTATTACCTGGATAAGTTTAAGTGTCCAGGGAGGATGRTTAATGAGTTTAGCTTCTTCAACGCATTCAGCAATAGCTTGTTCGATGTCAGGGTATCCTGCCTTATCCAGCTGGATGCCGGGGAACAAGTCATCGATAAGGCTCAAGAAGAGAGGTTCGTCTTCATCCACAAGTTTACTCAAGTTCATGTCACGYAATACTCTCATGACGATACGATCTTCGCTGTCCTGAAGAACAAATGTTAAGAAAATCAAATCACTGTCACACAACATTATTGTCACGCGAAACAAGATAAAGGAATTCAAAAAGTAACGCAACACAACGACGACAGGACACTTAATTTAATCTATAAATATTTTCCATGATAAAAAGATAGTGAGACGTAACGAGTCACGCAATATTACCTCAGGATTTGCTCTTTTTGCAGCTCCCAGMGTACGCAATACTGACAGAATGTTACGAAGACCAAAGTCGTAATGCACCTATAACAAAGACATTACATTGGAATATGACATTAATAACACATTATCCTCCCCTCCCCTACCCCTCGCGGCTTCTTTGTATCTCCCCTTCCCTCCCTCCCCTTCCCTCCCCTCCCTTCACCACCCCTCCCCTCCCATACCTGTTTTGTCAGTTGTTCCTCACACAGCTTGTAAAGAGTGTAAAACTTGGCAGAGAGAATAATATTCCTGATGAAACCACAAGCAGCCAGCTTGACTCGGATGATAATCTGTCGATCAGGGACCATCATGGCCACGGTACGGAACATAATCTTTAGGTTCTCTGGAAGCTCCTGGCGTCCGGCGTAACCTGGGTTCTACAACAAACAAGTGTCACGTGATCATCAATGATAACCTCGTTTTTATGCAGGGAGTCTTGGTCACTTTTGAAAATGGCCTAGTTTAGAAGAAGACAGGTTCGTTTACATTTCAAAATGGCCGCCAAGTCATTTAATATGGAAACATAAATATTATAATTGCTTACCATGGTTAAGAAGATACCAAACTCTGGATTCATGTCAACCACATCTCCATCAGTAAAGATAAACTCCTTCTTTCTCTCCTTCTTTGCAGTGAGGACGACAGAAATCTGCTGCGCGGCCACAGATAACACAGGTAGCTCGATACGGTTGAACTCGTCAAAGCAGCCCCAACTACCTGACTGAGCAAGGCCTTTRAAGATACGTCCAAGACCACGGTAATCCATCTGATCTGAACAGTTAAACACGACCACGTACTTGCCAAGAGCTTTGCCCATGTCTTTGGTGGTCTCTGTCTTACCTGTGCCTGCTGGGCCAGCGGGTGCTCCACCCATTGCCATGCCCAGAGCTTGSGACAGRGTAATATAACATCTATGAACAAAAATACGATATCCTTAAGACTAGTGTTCCATGTTTACTGTCAACAGCGAGAATTCTTTATATATACCTGTCAGTCAAAGGTGTGATRACCAGACGATCTGTACACCCAAGGAACTCGTCCTGGTAGATGAAATCCACATCTGTTATCGATACGATACAGTTGTCTGTTTCTTCTCGCCAGTAGAAACGGGATTGCTTCAGCCATTCAAAATCTGACGGCGATTTGATGTTCTTTCTGACAAGATCGTCGAAGATATCTCGCTGATGGACGTGGATCGTGATCAATGTCTCRTATTTGACTCGCTCTACTTTGGTAAGGTCTCTTGTCGTCATCTCGATCAACTCGTTCAGTATGTCAAGGAAATATTGGTTACGCTGTGCCATGATCTGAAAAGATAGAGTAATGACGGTAAATAAACATTTGTGGTGAATGGCTCAAACATCACCTACTGTCATCATCATAACCA